GTAATATGGTAAGAGACTCGTTGCTTTGCCTTCAACCGGAAAATTAAAAATCGAAAACGGCCCCCGGCGCCCTTGGGTCCATCTCCTGTTCAGTTGTGCACAAGGATATGAGCACATGATTTTTTACCTTTTCTTATTCTGCACTCTCGTATTTATGTTTTTATATTATCTTTTGATTTATTTAATTTAAAAATCGAAAATAAACGCAGATGCAAGGTGAGAAAAAAGGCGCATGAAAATCACTTTTCTTGTGCACACTGCACACCCTCCTAACAACGAGAAATTTTTGGGTCCGTCAAGTGGATTACATCACCCATTCGGCCACACACATAGTTGAGACCATCCTATGTATTTTGGTTTCCCTCGCCTATATGATGATGTCATCTCATATTTGAGCGTTTCTGTCATTGTGGAGATAGATTTAGAATTTTAGATGGACCAAGGACATTTTGATGGTGAAAAATGAGATTAACATGTGAGTCTGTGACATTATTAGACCGGATTACTACCGTAAAGGTCTACTCAGTCCATCTAAATTGTTCTTCTCATTGTGCGGCCGCGTGGTAACGCTGGCCGGACCAATGAATTTCTCATTAACAATTCAAAACAAAGCAACGATTTTTCAACCGATTGGGAGTTTAATGTGAAGGAAGTGGGGTGTGTAAACTATTTGTATCACTGATCTTGTTTAATATAACAAATACATATTACACTCCCGGGGCAGGACAGTAATAACCTTCAACTATCTAAATTTACTTAGGTTGACATGGCACTCAGAACTGTGTACAAAAACCAACCTTCGGCCAACAAAAATCCAACCCGAAATTCTTGGTGTCTCTCTCTCCTCCCTGTCTTCCACCCAACAAAGAACACCAACTAATCACTTCTTAACCACCATTTAATATGTAAAAAGGCAAAAATAAATCCTAATAATGCACATAATTAACATACCTCGGAGTCTCTAAACTCTCTCCCTCTCCATCGCGAAAACGTTCAAAGAGAAATCTTTCCAGAACAGGAGAGAGAGAGAGAGAGAATATCAATGGAGGAGATTCGATACCGTTCATATGCAACTGCTGGTTGCCGAAACGACCTAGAGATGGTGAACATGAGGAGATTAAGCGAAAACCACACAATGTATATAGGGAGGCCACATTTTCATCCATCATGGGATCCAAATCCCTCTATGAAAACAGGACAACACAATGATCTTCAACTGCGCATCGGGGGGATGAAGGCGAGGACAAAGAGAGCGCCGTCGACGAAGTCAAAGTCGATGAAATTGTGGTGGAAAGATCCGGAGATTAAGAGAAGAGGCCGAGTGGCTAGGTATAAGTTGTATGGTGCTGAGGGGAAGGTGAAGAGGTCTTTGAAGAAAGGATACCGTTGGTTCAAGAGGAAATGTCTCGAGATTGTACGTACCATTTGAAATACTTTGATCGATTTGAAGACATTGAAAGCTCAAATGTCCAAGTTTCCCATTCAATTCGTGTGTATGAACGTACGAGCGTATATTCTACGTATGTGTGTACGAGGCTTTTATGATTGCAATTTGCATGCATGCATGCAAAGGAAGAGTGATCGTTGGTTCTAACTTCTGAATTTTAGAAGTTTTTTTTCTCACTTGTGGGATTTGGGAAGGTGAATGTTCCTCAAATGTTGTTTCAATTAGGTGATCTTTTTATATTTTTTTTCATTTATTCCCAAAAGAAAGAAAAAACAAAATAATGGTTCCCCATTTGAGTTTTCAACCTTCTAATTTATGACAAAAAAATATCTTCTTATATGAACATGCATGCAAGAATGCATCCAATCCTTGTGATAACTGTCTCAAGGCTTGCTCTCAAAGATAAATGCTTGCTTTCACATGATAATTGAGATAAAAGATTGGGAGAGCAAAAATTATCTCGAGTGTATATAAGTTATTTTCCAAAAACAATGCTTTATAATTTGACATCGGGCAAGTCAATTATTACTCTGCCAACCATTTGTCTTGTCATATCGACGTGGTTCTGTGGTCAAAAGGAAAAGGAAAAATGAATTATGATTTTGATTTTTTTTTTTAAACAAAAAACCAAAGATCTATGATTAAGACCAAGATCTAAGAAACCATAAAGAATTAGTTGACAAATGGCACATGCAATCATAGCGATTAACATATTGTTTAAGTGTTGCAAAATAGCAAGCAGACCTCATTAGATTCTACTAGACTATGACATAGTAACAACCCTAAATAATGTGTTTCTTGTGGGCTCATTCTGTCTGCAAATCATTTATGTATGAGCTCTCTTACTCACTTGTAATTTGAATTATTTTTGGATTTACTGTCCAGAGTTTAAGGATCAATAAATTTAAACTTTTGATTTGTGAGAAAGATAGATTAAAGCTTTTGTATGAGGTGGTTCAGTGCAATGAGTTAATGAGGGCCGTCAAATTCAATTTGAGTGGTTCCGATTGCCTGATTTTTGGACTCTGGACAATAAGATAAAAAAATTATCTCTTTCCAATCATTTGTTCTCTTTGTAGGTATCATCGTTCCAAACCAACATGCAACGTTGTATAAGTAAAACACACAATGACAAATGATATATTTAGAATGTTGTTATCTTAATATGCTCTATTTCACGTAGGTTTTTTCGTACGAATGGTTTGAAACATCGTCATCGTCACTTCAGCGCCGGGTGTGAAGAAAGTTTCTCCCATGTGAAAGGGATTAAAGTGAGAATATCAATATCATCCTCATATGTAATGACGCCGGTGATATGAAGAGGACAAAGGAAAACAAACTTGTTTGGCCAAATGTTGTGTTTTATTATTTTTTAAAAAGGAGACTTTTTATCTATAAGAAAAGGATAGTGGACCTTTTGCATGGAATCTTAACAAGCAGCAAAAAAAAAACTTCGAAGATGGCAACACCCTTAAGTTGTGAAAAGTAATGTCACCATCCAAAAAATATAAATGTAAATGTATACATATAAATACAGGAGTCTTTATCCAAATGAATCTTTATTTTTTGGAAAAAAATACATTGCGAGGTCAATTATACATCGAATTTCAACGATCTGAACCATATATTTTTTATGTTTTCATTCATAGATCATCATTGCAAAAAATAATTAAATCTGAAACCATTTACTCATTTTATTATCATAATGAAATTTTGATATTTTTTATAACATAGTGTTTATCGATGTGGAGTGAACCCCACAATTAGGCCCCATTTTAACCAAAAAAATAGGAATCTCTTTGAATAAAGGGCTTGTACACACACACACACACACACACACATATAAAGGGTAATTGCATTTTACACTTCTTAAGTTTGAGGTGATTTTTAAAATGGATCATGAAGTTTTAATTTTCTAACATTGCACTCTAAGGTTTTGAAATTGTACCAATTTACACATTTTTATCTCTTTGAACGTCTAATAAATTAAATTTATGAGTCTTTTTGTCAGTATAGTGCAAATGTAATTTAAACGTTAACTCGTATAAGAGTCTCAAGCTTAATACGTCACATACTAAACAAATGGTACAATTTCAATACCCTTTAGTGCAATACGAAAAAATTAGAACTTCATAACCTATTTTAAAAATCACCCCAAGAACTGGTAGCTACTACTTGTGTAAAGTTGTATAGTATTGTAGACCAATAATGAACCATGATTATATTTTTCCCTTTTAAAGACAAAAGAACTATGTTTTTTTCTGAATTTAAATGTTATTGGTAAAAAACATGTCATTAATGCATTTTGTTGCATTTGCCTAAGGGTTAATTATTGTAGTGTCCTTGAATGCATTGTCAAATCTCACATTACTACCAAACTTCACAATTATTTATAGAGTATGATTCTCTCTTTCAAATATTTTCTTTCTTTATATTTGAACGGTCACGATTAAGTTAAATTAACATCATAAAAAAGAAGAAAGAAAGAGGAGAGGAGATAATCCTACTCTTTTATTTGCATTGGCATGTTGACTCATATCTGGTCTCACTTTACCACCTATTGTCAAAATCCTTAGAAATTTCGTCAAAACCACCAACATTGCACGCAGAAAACTATAAGGGCGAGTAGGAGCCATGCCATCCATCTTGCTAAAGTCATCGACAGACGAATGAACGGACTCGATGTTGGGAAAAAAGTAAGGAGAAATTCTTGTGTACGCGATCCATTTATAAATGTGTGTGATCAACACGAATCCTAAGTATATAAAGTCTCATTTTTTATGAGTAGGTGATTAAAGAGAGCTAAATAAATCATTATAACTTCATAAAACGTGAAATTTGACCATAATTTATAGACCACTAAAACCCTTAAACAAGACACATTGATTCACATTCATGAAAATTTATGCGACAAAAGAAAGCAAGTCATATGATTTTCAACTCTCTAGGCAATTCCCAAAATAGGATCGAAACCGACGATTTTAATTTGAGTGAATTGAACCTTCGATTGATCTTAGCATTAAAGATAGGGCTCAAAACTATCAATTTAGGAGAATGTGTTATATGAAATGAATTTACAGTCAGCAATGTTTGAAACGGATTTATTGTCTGTGGCGTTCCTTGTCCAATACTGTATTCTTATGTGCAAGTTTTTTTTTTTTTTCCTTTTCAAATGACAATGTATTATTGCACTGAAACAACACGGGATAGTGAGTTCTTTTCATATATGTTGATTTCTCAATTTAGAGTCCACGTGGCAGGGCGGTATACGCTGTGGCACATGATCTACCTGAAAAAAAATTAAATAAAAAAAGGAGGCAGGGTGGTAGAGTGGTCCAGAAAATAAATAAGTAATAAAATAAAATAAGAAAAAGGTTGGCATTTCTCAAGCTTCACAGAACTCATCAGCCACTCAGCAGCTCTCCTTCACAGCGATGCGTTTTCTTCTTTTTTTCATCCAATTCCTTGCTCGGTGCTAAGTTCTAATGTCTCTTCTTTCTTCCATTTCAAATTCTCTCTCTCTCTCTCTCTCTCTCTCTCTCTCTCTCTCTCTCTCTCTCTCTCTCTCTCTCTCTCTAGTTTCTGCAAATTTCCCTCTGATTTCTCTCAAGTTTGACATTTTTCCCCTGTTGCATTCCCAAAGACTTTCTCTCTCTCGCTGATATTTAAAGACTGTTTTCTTTACTTTCAAAACCCAAATGATTCTGCTGCTCTACGTTTTCAGATCTTCAATCATTTCCTCCACACCCGATTGTTCTTGTTTTTCAGCACAAAATTTAGTCCAAAAATAGAAAGAAAGAGCTGGCGTTTTTGTAAATGTGGGTTCTTGGGTGAAGAGAATGTGTTTCAAATTGACTGAAGGTTTACTCATTTGACTGAATGTCCTTCTGCGTATTTGAATCTTAGTTGCTGAGTTCGGAAAAAGCGTGGGATTTGAGTGATTTTCTGTGTGTACAGAAGGGAAAGAAGATAGAGGAGTGAACTTTCTAGTGTGGAAAAATGGGGTTCTGCAGATGAAGGATTTGAGGTGAGATTTTGATTGAAAAGATTATAGATTTGTGCTTTCTATTGATTTTAGAGGGTACCCATTTGCTTCTCTTCATATGTATAATTAATGGTATAATCCGATTTGTGGTGTTGATTTGAAAAATGATGTACATTTTAAGCAAATGTTGAAACTTTAGGAGTGTAGTTTTGTTTTGTTATTTTAATTGGTCAATAAGCAATGTAGGTAAATTTTAGGTCTTAATTCATGCTGATTGGTTGGCAGTGTTGTTATATTTTGAATACCTTTGCACATTTAGTACAAATTGCCACATGGGTTCTGTTGAAGTGGTCCTTTTTGTTTGAATCCCAGGCTCCTATAGGTCTGTGGAAGACAAAAATGGAGGTTGAGAAGAAACGTTCAAAAGGGGGCTTTCTTAACTTGTTTGACTGGAATGGAAAATCTCGGAAGAAGCTCTTCTCAGCCAGTTCTGAATCATCGGGTAGTTTTCTTTTCTATTTTACTTCATTTTTTGTTGTATATCTGGCTTATTTATCTGTAAGTGGTGGTTCTTAGTTAAGCATTGTGTTTAACTTTTGGCATTTTGACTGTAAAGGATTAAAGCATGGGAAAGAATATATGGAGAGTTTCTCAAAGCCAGGGCTCTATAGGGTAGGCAAAGATCCTCTACCCTCTGATGTTAGTCATACTCTTGTTTCTTTTTCATGTGATGGAAGTATCGAGAATATGCGTTTTTACTTTTTATACTGTTGGGATATTTGCAGGTAGAGGTGGATGAGAGTGGAACTGCAACCACTTTAAGTAATAAAGGAAGTAATGACTGGAATTGTGCTTCATCAGTGACCAGTGATGAGGGATGTGGGGTTAGAGCCCCTGGTGTAGTTGCTAGATTAATGGGTCTGGATTCACTGCCTGCTTCAACTGCCCCGGAGCCATCTTCTGCCCTACTCTTTGACTCCCAGTCGCTTAAAGCATCTCAACATGAGAGGAGTGGTCGTAATTTGTGCAGTGATTTTTATGCCACCGAGTACATAAATGTGCCAAAGAAGCTGGATAGGTTTTCTTGGAATCTTGTAGAGCCTAGGACACAGGGGGTACCATGCCACCCAATTAAGAGATTTCAAACAGAAGCTTTGCCTCCAAAATCAGCCAAGGCAATTCCAGTTCCTCAACATAAGCTTTTGTCACCTGTCAAGAGTCCTGGCTTCATTCCACCAAAAAATGCGGCTTATGTAATGGAGGCAGCCTCAAAGATCATTGAGGCAAGTCCTCGACCATCTGCCAGGAGCAAAGTGTCATCTGTGGGGCCTTCTTCAATTCCCTTGAGAATTCGGGATTTGAAAGAGAAGATGGAAGCTGTGCATAAAGCATCAAGACCTGAAGGACCCAAGGAAGCTAGTGACTTGAGGTATGTGAAAGGACTGCCGAGTGACAGGCGCCAGAACGGGTCAGGTAATGTACCAGTATCCAAGGCTTCTGTGGATTCAGAAAAACAAAGTTACAGGGATATGAGGAATAAGGGCAAATCACCATCACTTGCAGAACAAGCAAAGGTCAATGTTCAGAGAAGGGAGGGGTCAACTTCTTCTAGTAATAAAAGTATTATGAACCAGAAGGAACAAAATGAGGTCAAACAAAATCAGTTTTCCAAGAGCAGGTCAACTACACAAAGACCTATGCATAAGAGAACTTCCATTGACAACACAAGAACTGCGCTCAAGCAGAATAACCAGAAGCAGAATTGTGTATCTAACAGAGAGAAAATGACTTCAAAAGGTATGGTTCCTAATCAGCCTACTAGAAGAATGCGGCCACCTGATGGCTCTAGTGGGCCAAGCAAAGCTGTGAATAAGACTATTCTAAGCTCTGAAATTGGTTCCAGAAAGATGGGCTCAAGGGCAACTGCTACTGGAAAAGAGTTTTCATTATCCACAAGAAAGAATGTTTGTGGAAACTTAAGGTCTGTTCATCAGGATGTTCGCTCAGAAGAAACTGTTTTCGATGAAGCATATATTGGGGAGGATGAAAGATCAGTGAAATGTAACGTTTCAAGGAATGGGTGCACCAATTTGGGCGCAGATAATAGGAACCAAGGCATGGATGTTATTTCATTTACATTCACGTCTCCCCTGAAAAGATCATTCTCTGAATTGCAGTCACCTCAAGTCACAAGTATAAATAACAGCTATTGTATTGATTCTTTTGGTAACAATGATGAGCAGTTCTATGCAGAGAATTTCACATTATCTTCTCCTGGGTTGAACGTGATTGGTGGTGATGCTTTGAGTGTCCTTTTGGAACAAAAGCTTCAAGAACTGTCATGTAAAGTTGAGTCATCTCAGCGTAATCAATCCAGTGAAGTGACTTCTGGTAGTTCTACGTCTTGCTTGCAAGATATGGTTTCCAGTGTGGCTAGCACTACATCAAGATGCAAGGGGTTCAAATTTGGTTTAACCAAACATAAAACTCACAGCACATACGACAATGGTTGCTTGTCGGTTGAGGTTAACCAGCAGTGGCAGGTTTGTTTCTTTTGTATATACATTTTTCCTTACGCAGATTCTGTTTATTGTTAATGTTCTTGACTCATGATTTTTAGCTGTTGGTTTTTCCTTTTTCTTTTGTATAAACATTTTCACTCTTAGTTTGTTCTATAGGTACCTAGAATTATAGGTCTTTTCTTAAGATACCAATCCGTGCTTCAAAGTCAAGGGTCTGTGTTAAAAATAAAATTCAAATTCCACTACAGCTGGGTGAAAATATTTGAGAGATAACGTGACAAATTAAGCAATCAGCTATACTAGTCTGTATTTGATCCATATTTGTGAAAAAGATTTAGATTTTATTGATATTTGAAATTTTGGATAAAATTCTTTCACTTTGGTCCCATTAATCTTGTCAAGAGCTGTGTTATTTTGATTCTTAGTTTACGTCATGAAGATATACTCACATGCTAATCAAATTCTCTTAAAACATTTCAGGGATCAGAAGGCGTGGAAGAGTGTATCAGTAGCATCAGAAACAGTGCAACTGGAAAAGAATTTGATCGACGTCTTAGTCCAGTTTCAGTTTTTGAACACTCATTTGAGAGTCGAAGCACCAATGGTACAACTAAACTTTTCTATATCTTCCTTTTCCAGTACATACATTCCGTAACAATTTCTTAGATCTAAGTGTCAGATTAAGAGTTTTTGCACTGTGAATAGCTTCACATTTACTCATTACTATCAAAGAATAGCCAAGAACCTAGTGGACCAGAGAATATTAAAAGATCTATTAGGCGTGGACGAGTTTTATGTATATGCAAGAACGTGAATTACACAGCTTTGAGAATGTCTATGCTAGTTGATAGTCCTGCAAGTAGTAAAAATTAGAAAAATGATTTAACATGCATGCTATACTCTCCATTTACAGGCAGTGACACTGAGAGATGTTCGTTGGCTCAAGTTCAAGATCAAGGTAGTTCATTCTCTTCATATGGTGTTTCAGAGTTCCTCGACTCAGCCTCTTCAGCTTCCACAGGGGATGCCAGCGGAAAGAGTACGACTATAATCTCAGGTTCCTATTATTTTAATCAAACAAACGATTGGGAACTGGAATATGTAAGATACATCCTAAGTAATGTAGATTTAGAGATGGAAGAGTTCGCATTGGGTGATGCTCAACACGTCATCACCCCCAGTCTCTTTGACCATTTGGATAATCAAGAACAAGAAGAGTATCTGAAGCTCGAGCAGAAGATCTTGTTTGACTGCGTAAACGAAACCCTGCAGTTCAGATGCAAGCAAATTTTTGTGGGAAGCCGCAAAGCGTGGGATAGATTGACCACATTGTCTCAGAGGAAGGGACGGCTAGCTGAGGAGTTGTACAAAGAGATTTCGGGTTGTAAAAACATGGTAGAACTGATTGGGGATGAGCTTGTGGACAAGGACATGAGCACTCAGCGTGGGAAATGGCTTGACTTCGAAGTCGAAGCATTTGAGGAGGGTCTGGAGATTGAGAAGGGGATACTGAATTGTCTGGTGGATGAGTTGGTGTCTGATTTTTTTAACTTCTAGTCCCTCTTTGAGTTTGCCTTGTATTAAGAACTTCTAGCCCCTCTTTAAATATTTTCTTCCAGATGATAATTTCCTCAACATTAGAATCTACTGCTAGTAAACCATTTTTCATTTCCCGTGCGAAGTCCTTGGTGTCTAGGATTGAATTCGATTAGGAGGTAGGATTTGATCTCATCGGACTAGACTGGATTGGAATGGATAACTTAAGCATTCCGGGCCCTTGGTTCGGTTTTTAGGTTTTGGGTCATGGGGTTGTAGTGAGATTAATTACTCCATATTTTCTGACGATTAGTTCTCCTGCAGGAGGGAATTAACATTTTATCCAATTCTTTATTCACTTTTGGTGATTGGATTAATCTATTCTAATCCTGCAACTCTCCTCCGAAATTGTACATTGGTTCGGTGTATGACATGCACCGAAATAACCGATGGTTGAATGTGTGGTTAAAGTTCTAATAGATGAGGAACACTGGTGCTGCAAACTAGAAATCCCCTTGCTACAAACCCGATCCACCAAATGGAGAGAGATTTACGTGGAACTTCTAACGTTAAGGTAGTATTGTCCTAAACTTACCACGTGTCATGTCTTTTTAACTCTCAAATTTCTCATACGACATCGCATACTTGGTTTAAGAAACTGTCACGTTATCATCTTGGCTTCATTCACGCAATTCATTCCCCGCCAAAAGAGGTACCACACTCTTAAGTTCTTCTCCTATTGCAAGCTGCAAAATGTACAATTTTAATTGCACTAACATAGCAATGTTTTATCCAGGATGAAGCTGTGTAAAGTTACTACACGATGGATTATAAGTTTAACCGCTCAGATTCCATTCAAATCTGAATAACCAGAGATCTTGGCTTGGTGCGAAGTTTGGTTCTGGTACTAGCTTTTGCCGTGGTACCAATCTGACTTCTAGTACAGGTCTAATCAACCCTATTGGAATTGGAGGAGAAAAACTTACGTAGGGGCATTCCGTCATTTAGAGCACGTCATTTTTAGTTGGAGAGATTTCATTGTTACTAATGCATTACTTGACTAATGTTTATTGGACGGATGATGTATCATGTACTTTTTGAACATGTGACAAATATTTATTGAACATCTAATGACACTAAAACAATCTTTTGGTTGCAAGCGAAAATCTTTCGACAAACTGACAAAAGTATACAACCTTCTGTATTCTGATCTCACCTGACCCTCGGTGGTTAATACGTGAGAACTTCCATGGTCAGACAACACTAACAAAAAAATTTCTCCTACCCAAGGGCTAGGCTTCTAAACGGGTTAGTTTCTTGGCAAATGTGAGCTGAAATTATTATAAAGTAGGAGAAAATATGTTGTGTCATTGGAGAATATCCTATACGTGACAAGTGTTATAGACACAATCATGACCTACCTCACACAAAGGCAGTTGAAGACAGATCAGGGTTGTATGCCCTACGACTTCCGGTGCCCTCCCGTACCCTTCTACTTTGTGTGATCACGGTTAAGTTATGTCAACATTTTATATATTTTTTTTATAGAGATAGTAAGACAAAAATGAATAGTAATATAAAATATTGACGTGGTTTAATCGTGACCACACAAACAAGAAGGCACTGAAGCGCATTAGAAGTGGAAGGGTAGACAATCCTTGTCCGTTGAAGACCAAGAGTAGTGGTAAACAAATGGGGCAAATTGAATAAACTTGTTCCCTTTTCTTATTTAACCACAAACAGAAATAGAGTAAATGTAAAACAGTAAAAATTGAGTGAAGGACTTTCAACCATGGCAAACCAACTGTCGACTCCTACCTTTCAAGCAATTGTATTATAACACTTGTTATACTGATCTGTGTTTCTGATACACTAAAAAATTCTACTTTAAGTGCATTTCTTACCTCCATTCAGGGAGACAAGAGTAACTGTGTAATTCAATAGCCATAACATGTTCCTAAAACTTCATCACATTGAATTCTATAATTTTTTTTTTCACCATTTACTTCAAAATCTAAAAGAACAACTCTTCATGTTTAGGGTTCGGCCAAAGCTATATAGGTTAAACTATGTTTAACTTAAAATACATTTAGCATATCAAATGCAACACGAGAGAAATGGTAACTTTTCTTTCCAATACGAACGATGTTGGGGGAGGAAGATTCGTACACAGGATTTCGAATGCATAAATAAATGCTCTTAGTTACTTAAACTGTAAGTCACTTATCACCGCAAATGATAACTGTAGATATTATTCGGATGAGATTTCTTACCATGGTCACTCATAAAAAGTATACAACAATACAAACACTAGTTTCCTTGTACCAAACTGTTGGTGGAATCTGCCATCCTGATAAATCATGTGCCACCAAGTGGGCCTTTTTGTGCTCCGGACAAGCTTTGATCAAAACAAAAGAGCTTATATCAAAGTATTGTTTCATTGAGGGACACCCTACCTAACTTAACCTAAGCAGAGCCACATAAAAAACCAAAAGCCATAAACACAATTCATGGCTCTCAAAACTTTGTATTAATCAGTATAAATTGTAATCCCATATTATCGAAAGGTTACGGGTTCAAGTTTTGGAATTAACCTCTTTACAAAGTAAGGTTAAGGCTGCGTACTGCAGATGTTCTCCCGTCGCCCGGCCCTCACAATAATGAGAGTCTTGTTAGCTTGGGGTCGCCATACTAGTGTAGTTTAGCTCAATACAAGTCAAATGAACAATGTGAGAGTTGTACACCGAAGAAGTACAACAATAATCTACAGTTTAAAAGTAGTTCACTGTAATCACAACTATATCTTAATCTTTGTGGATGGGAAAAAAACCAGATTTATGACCAATAACCTAAGATTTACATTGTGCAAACAAAAGAAAAGAAAAAACAGAGCATGTGATGGTATGGCAAATTGCACATGGAGGTATCAATTGCTTTGTCTAATTTAGATTGGATTTTGCCAAAATCTATCAAAACACATATTAGCCTCAGCTTGGTGGACAAGTAAGTGGACAAGCAATGACTTCTACTTGTTTATTCTGGGTTTCTAATGTGGGCTTATAATATTTCCCATGCTAGATAAGCATGGTGACTACTTACTCTCTCTCTCTCTCTCTCTCTCTCTCTCTCTCTCTCTCTCTCTCTCTCTCTCTCTCTCTCTCTCTCTCTCTCTCTCCCTCCCTCCCTCCCCAGGGACGAAGCCAGAATTTTTTTCTAATAGGGGCAACCGAAAACAACTAAGAAAACCTTATTATAGTATGGTTATACGCAATATGATATTAATGATGGTTTCAAATAATGATGTATCATAATTTCAATGTTAAAAAAAATGAGAAAATTAGGTTCACATCCTTCTTTTTGTTACTCCATTGATCAAAATCCTATTCATTTTGAATTTTTGATTAAGGTCATTGGGTATTAATAACATCATTAATTATTTGGGTTTCTAATGTGGGCTTATAATATTTCCCATGCTAGATAAGCATGGTCACTACTTACTCTCTCTCTCTCTCTCCCTCTCTCCCTAGGGACGAAGCCAAAATTTTTTTCTAATAGGGGCAACCGAAAACAACTAAGAAAACCTTATTATAGTATGGTTATACGCAATATGATATTAATGATGGTTTCAAATAATGATGTATCATAATTTCAATGTTAAAAAAATGGGAAAATTAGGTTCACATCCTTCTTTTTGTTACTCCATTGATCAAAATCCTATTCATTTTGAATTTTTGATTAAGGTCATTGGGTATTAATAACATCATTAATTATTTGAATAATAAAATATTTTTATTTTTAAATATATTCCTTTAGTGTTAAAAATGTTACAATTAGTATATTTATATTTATGGCTAAATTTTTTATCATATATTTTTATTTTTAGTTTGTACCTATTTTTAATTTGCAAATATTTTTTTAATTTGTACCAATTTTCTTTTCATTTTTAATTTGTACCCATATATTAGTTTCTTTTTGTGCCCCTATTTTTTAAAGTTTTATTTGTGTTTGTACCCATGTGTATACCGTCACATGACATTGTATATTTAATCAATGATAGAAAAATTACATATGGTATATTTATGTTTTATGCCTAAACTTTGTATCATATATTTATATTTTTAGTTTGTACCCACTTTTAATTTGCAACATTTTTTTTTTTAATTTGTAGTGACACACCCCGATCGAGATCAGGGCATGCTGGCCGTTACGTGGAAGTGACGTAACCATGTGCACAGTGCGGAAGCTAATAAAATAATAATAAAAATAGTACGAATAAATAAAAACTAGCTTTACACAAAGTAAGAGCATACATGTGCAAGCTTAAGTGTGAAAACAAAGTTCAGAGCACGAAGACCCAATGCAGTCCGGGAGAAAACGACACTACAAAAGCACACCCGAAGGTGGTCCTACACTGGTAATAGTTTGTCAGATATATCGGGGAAATCCTCAGGGAAGCCACCAAAAGTGCTAGCCAACTAGAACCTAGAGGGGCGCAAAACAAAAGCGTGAGTGGGCAAAAACAAAGCTTTTCAAAAACCATTTCATAAATAAGTTCTAACCCCTCGTCGTAAAACTTGTATACTTCCCAGAAAATAGAATATATATATATATATAAGTCATGCTCAGAAATATGCCATGCCAAATGCCTCGAAGTAAAATGCAAGTGCTCAGGTAAAATCACATCAATGTCGTATAATCTGTCAGCCGGAGTCACCTAACGTGACCTGTACGGTTGAATCTAAAGCTCAAATTTCCATCTCACTAACTATACCTGCACACGAGTCGGAACCACCTAAAGTGGTCTGTACGACAAGCCTGGGTGTAATATAAGTACGCTCAAGTGCTACGATCACGTGAAGGCTGGACGAATAATCGCGGGTTACCTACGAGTCGGAACCACCTAAAGTGGTATGTACGACAGGATTGTGCACCTAACTTGGATCCAAGATGAGCGTGTGGTGCGGGAGGTGAACATCACGTGAAGGACTGTGCCCTACTCTGGAGGGGAGCACTAACACCGGAGGTGCAGGTTATGAGCTCTCTATGCATCTCAAATCACTACTGAATGTAAACATAAATCATAACTCACCTGGCACTTACCTGTGCGTCCGCAGCACCAAACATATATATAAATATATGCAACTAACAATGCATAAACAAACGGCAACATTATGCATGGCATATAAACGAATAAACGTTTCATTTCACTTTCTGGGAAAAGTATAAGTATATAGGTATATACGGAAAACCAAAAGCCCACTCACTGGT